GGCAGTGGTCGCGTCTACGCAAGGCGATGGAGTGCGCGTCCTCTGGACGCACGGACTTCTACTGTACAACGGTGGTTCTAACACTCTCTTGCCTCCGCCTGGAGGCGGAGAACATTGAAACTCCTGCAACTGTAATTCCAACTCCTGCGCCAGTTTCGCTTTATGCGGTGGCGGACTCGAAGACGGCGAGTCCATCAGATTCAAGGAAGATAGCCTCTGTTTTCCCGAGGACACCTCGATACCGGAACACCCTGCTTCCAATAGCTCCTCCTTCTTCTTATCTCCAAAGCCCGAAGATAAACCTCCGGCCGCGTTCGAAGCGTTCCTGTCCCTCTGATGGTAGATGCCGGCGAAAATGAGAATGTTCAGTAACAAGAGAAACACGCCAACGGCTATGGTGACTGTGAGGGCTGTGGTGTAGCTTTGATAATGACTGGAGGCCAGCTTTCTAAGAAGATTGTTAGGCGCTGGGCCCAGGTTCGGATGCTGCAAAGTTCTCGAGGTAGTCGCCACGGTGGTCGCGACCGTAGCGTTCGGCGTACACTCGGTGGTCGATATCGCGCTCGAGATCGAGGATGGCTCGGTGGGTGACGGTACCGGGAGCGGAGGCGCTGGCAACGGCAGCGCTTCGGTCTGCTGGCGCACCGCACCTTCGTACAGGCTAGGGCTGTCGACCAGATGATGGTGACGCATGCTGATTTCGTATCCGGGTCGATGGAGTTGCGGCAACAGATTCAACCACAGAGACATCTTGTGGCCCCTGTAATGCGACCGCATTTCCGTGCTACGACCGGCCTCTAGGTACAGCTGATTTATCGAATCGTACGAATCCCAAAACGGCGGGCTGGTCGGAAGCCCGTCGGATCCCGATGTCAACGGGCTGACGCCGTTCGGGTCCCTGAAACATCACGCGTGCGCCAACACACGCGTCTCGATCAAACGGTCTCCGCTATAGATACGGATCGTGCTCCGAACCTTGATCGGTTCGAGGAGCGGCTATCTCGCTACTATTCAAAATCCGGGGATTACGGGGTACGTTCGTCTTGTTACGGAGGACATTTAACACGGATAAAAGCGATTACAGATTCCTGCGATTTAGCAAACACGTCCGCGTTTCTTTTTTCTTTCGGATCTGCGTGCTATTATATGTCCAAGCAAAGAACAAAAAAAGAAAAAAAATAAAAAAAAAAAAGAAGAAGAAAACCACCGAGTTGTCGCGTTCTTGCTTACGAGAGAATGAAAGAATCAACGAAACGATGTTCGCAAGTAGGAAAATATAGACTCCACCGAGCTGAGATTCGAGGAGATGCATGCGTGGTGGTGACGCAAAATCGTTGAATCGAATCGTGCAAATTTTTCTAATTACGGAATACTTAAACGACAATGACACTTTAAGCATAGAAGAGCGTAGATTTCTATATCATCGAAGTTGTTGGCCAATTTCTTTTTTTGCTCGTTTGATTTTCGTGTTATACTCTTTGTGCGTTCAACGATAGATCTAAACACGTTTTCTCGAGTTTCTTTCGAACGTTACTTAATCTTAAACGTTATATGTACGTCTTTCCCTTAGATGTAAATTTTATTTGGAAAAAATACACGAAATCGTTAAATCGTTGAAAATTGCCTGCGTTTCCATCATTTCGCTCGTCAATTTTCAAGTAAAATTGATTTTTCTACTGCTCGAAACTAATTTTCGCGAGAAATTATCTGATATTATCTCAATGTAATTATCTTATACCGTCTGATTAGAGAGTCAGGGACATGTCATATCGATATCGAATTACACAACGCGCTCTAATCCAACGATTATATTATTAGTCCAACTCTAACTCGAGGAACGCGTAACTTTAGCTAATTGTATTCGGTTCAGGAAACGCGGCAGCACGTAACAAGAAACTAGCCTCGCGTCATCGTAATTGCAAGTTTGGAACTTGCAGCTGACTACGTTGCCATTTGCTTCGTTATCAGAATTCCTGGCGGTCCTGCCTCGGTTCCCCATAGTCGTCGTCGCCGTTTTCACGAACACGTTCAACTTCCTCCGCTTTAAATCGCCGAAATTAAGAAGAACGATCGACTCTCGTCCGTCGGTTTCGATCGTTTCAGCCCGAAGCCGATCGGAAAACTAAACGCGTTGGTAATTCGAAAAGTTGTGCCGAACGTGTTGATTAAAGTTTCGCGATCGGAGCCGCTGCGATCGTGTTAATTAAGACGTTGATATTTTGATAGCGACATCGATGGGATCGATCGTGTGTGCGCGTTCCGATATCGAGACGGTTCTAATTTCTTTCAAAGTTGCGGCAAGTGGGAAGAAAGCGTTGTTTCGGGTGAAAACGAAAAGTTTGCAAGCAGAAAGTTCCCCTTCGGCTTTACTTGTCTTCTGCTGCCTAGAAATAATCGTAAGGAGTTCCTATCATCTTTCGTCATAGAATTCACCGTGCGATCGACCGTGATCGTGGATTACGAGTTTCGAGCTGTTAAATTACGAAGAAAAACAATAACGAGATTTCGTTACGAGAACAAGGAAAGAATTGCAAAGGAGATAAGAAGTAAGATTTTACTTGCATTTTTAACCGAAATCTCAGCTAGCATGGACGCGAAAAAGGAGAAAGTTTCCGATTCTGCGATTTTAAACGCGACAGAAATTTCAGTCGAACTTCGAATGGTTCGCGCTGATGCTCGAGCTGGGTAAAATTGTATTTGCATGAAAATTGCGTTGCGCACTGGTCTGAAGACCGTGATCGTCTCGTCTGTTAGACCAATTAAATGCGATATTCATGACTTGCGAGCATAAAAATTAGATTCCACGGTAAGACAGAAAAATGGATCGACTCGAACGTCGTTTCCTCGTCAAGCATCGTTGCGATAAAGTGAAAAACACCGACCAAAGCATATCGGACGACGAAGCTCTGCAATTCCAAATCAAATCGCAACTGTTATCCGTAAGCTTTATCGAAGCAATCTTCTTTAACGATAATAGCACCGTTTTACGAAGCTTTCGGGACTGTTTTCTCAACGCCGTCTTTCATCGCCGTCCTGGATGCGCTGCTAATTTTACGATTGCTCTTAAAGAATCTTACTTTTTAGTCGATCGTTGAGGAAATAAAAAGAGAAAGGCAAGCTTTCGGGGAAAACATGCGTTTGATTAATTAAAAAATTGTTCGGAGCTCTTGAAGAAATATAATTTTAGTTCATTAAATACCTCGCCCGTTTTATTCGAGCGCTGTAGCAATCGAAAATTAAAAAATAATTTCTTAAAATTAAAATATTTACTTTAATCTCGTACAAAGGCACGCGATTAAGCACGTCGAAGTAACAATTTCCCAACGTCGTATTAGCAAATTTTTAATCTATTATCAAGTCTTGATTAAATTCTTCTTAAATACGCGATGGAATATCGAAAAATACTTGACGTGGAAACCAGGTCAACGGACGTCGAACAGATCGCGCGATATCACGCTGAAAACGACCAAGTATCAGCTACCTTTCCGACGAATCCAGTCGTCAAAAGGAAACAGAGTGTCGACTGGAAGTTGCCGTGTCCGGGAACAGAGTACGATCGCGTCTGCACGACCGTGCGAGTAAAGTGCAAAACCGAGAACCAACTTGGCAAACGGGCAACAAAGACGGAAAGACTCACCCGCGTCTTACGAAGTTGGCCAAGTAGTGGACCAGCAGTTTGGACAGGTTCTCATCGGCCAAAGTGTAGTTGGCTTGGGCGAAGAGAACGGACACCACCTCTCCGCGGAGAAGAGGTATCCCCAAAAGATAGGGCACCTCCTCGCCCCTCTGACTTGGTCGGTCGCCGAGCTGAAAATGCAAAAAGTAACCACGTCCTCCGGACGCCGAGTGCAGCAATGCGAGCCTTAGGAGAGGAGCAGCGACCTGACCGTCGCCGAGCAGGGACAGGAGGCCCTCGCAGATCGCTGACGGACTCTGCTCGCCTCTCTCCCAGTCCGTGTACTCGTTACGGAGGGTCGAGTAGATCTCGTGAAGGTGGTAACGATAGGTGTTTCGCACGTAAGTGCGTAAAATACGATCCCTCCTGGTCTCGTTCAATCCGTTCTGCAATCATATCGGATGGATGGTTGATGGAGAGTTTTCTTTTCGAGGGACACTCGTAAAACTTTCGCATCGGCCGATCGTAAAGCTTTATCGTACGCTTGGCTTTTTTCGGAGTCGAGGTATATCGCGATATGGCCGAGGATGGACGAGGTATGCGCCTTTCTCATTGCTTTACTCCTGCTTTCGTACGTGAAAAATGCTTTATCGAAATTTATCCTACGAGTTACTAGTATCGTTTCTAGAAAAGTATCATTACGCAGGCCGTAATTAACACGGTATCAACCGATCGATGTTTCCTATTGTTCAGATTTTCCTTTCTTAATCGTTCTTTCGATAGCTGTTAGACGACTTTAATCGAGCCTGATTCAAACGCTTCGAGAAAATCACAAAACGCCTTAACTGAATGTAGTAACAATGTAAAACCACGCGTGAACACATACCTCTGTGTGCGTGCGTGTTTATGTTTGTGTCTG